AAGAGAGAGAGAGAGAGAGAGGGAGAGAAAGAGAGAGAGAGAGAGAGAGAGAGAGAGAGAGAGAGAGAGAGGGAGAGAGAGAGAGAGAGAGAGGGAGAGAGAGAGAGACAAAAAGGAGGCGGATGAGGATGATACATAGACATGCGGGAGTGGACCAGAAGAGGAATCTACAGGTGAAAAGAATGTGAAGAATCTGCGAGAGAAGATGTGAGAGTGCAAGAGACGGGTGATTGTGAATAAAGGAGAAGGCAAGGAGAGAGGGACCGACAACGGCAGAGGAGGTTTGCGCGAACGTTTAGCTCCGTGACGAACAGAGACAGACGCGCGTTCACTTGTTTTATTCACGACGACAGCTGGTCTGTCCCTGTACGACTGATTCCAGCCCATGATCCATATATTCGTTAGGTAATCCTAGTAACTCTGTCGCTGCTAGGTGCGCAGCGGCACGTTGAAAATGACGTGGATTCTCCATGACTTATGTAAAATTAAATCTTGTGTAAATTTTGCTGTGCAGAAAAGTGTAGTTAGTCAATGTTTTGTTGTTCGATGTTCACTAGAATTAATTTTTTAGAAATGTTTTTTGATTGGTTGTTTACATCGCTGGTGGCGCTACTGTTCCTGCAGTCGCATATCTTGCTGACGTTTTAATCCCTAACCACTATTCAACTAGAAATTTTGTAAATGTATAAATTTATAATACAGTTGAATCATATAATCAGGGATTAATAACGACATTTGTCATTATAAACCCCTGATATTATGAAATAGATATTTAAAGTAGTGCAATTCTTTTAAATGATTAGATAAGAGATTTTCTTGGTCTATGACATTTCACTAAAAGTTTGTTTCGCGCAATGTTGTGGTGCAACCAGCAATGTAAAGAAACGATCGTAATTAGTTTTTTAAACGTTTTAAAAAAATTATTTCAACATTGCGTGACAAGATTCTTTACGTAACAATTTTATCACAATTTAACTGTAAATTTATAACTGTTAGGAATATGTTGATATTATTCTTTATTTGTAATAGTATTATATATACACATATATGTATAATGTATGTGATTATTTGTATGTGAGTGTCTGGGCCATCTGTGAGTGATGTAATCTGGTTGCTGGTAACATACCTGAGGGAATCATTAGGTGGATTTGGTTGAAGTTATTTTAACCTTTTTTTTTTTATAAAGTTGTAATTAATTACATGTAATATGTACTATATAGTTTTATATATGGCTACACGATATGTGGTAAAAGGATCCGATCAACAGTAGTTAGTCGACACAAACACAGATGTGCACATGTTTGTAGAGGCTCTGTACGCGCATGCTCCCTGGTGGCACCCATTACCTTTGAGAGAGGAAAGCGGGTGGGTGAGCATTTACCCACGCGAGGGGAAGGTGGGGGTTTCTACCTACGCGACGAGGAAGTGGGTGGAGTTTTCTACCCACGCGAGGGAGGGAGGGGTGGTTTTTTTTACCCACGCGAGGGAGGGGTGGGCGGATTTTCTACCTGGTGGAGTTGGTAGAGGCGTTGTGTTGATATTTGTCAGTGATCATTCATGTGCTCACACCTTGACGCTGGGGTGTATATACCTGGCTGTGTGTATATTAACATCACTATACATATCCCCGTGGCTTGAATCGAAAATCATGTTTGAGCGTGGAGCGACGTATGTGATTCGTTGTTCTGTCTCGTGTTATATATAGATGTATATTGATATAGATATCTTCACTATCATATGTATTAGCGTGCCTTTCTACAGAGGAGGAAGAAACCGTATTCACTGTTCGTCCGAGCCTTGATAGTGGCATGTTGGAAGGGCCTGCTAAAGGGGTAGGGTATAGTGAAGTGCTGTTTAGCTGTAGACTGGTTCCCTGTGATTACAGAAATGTAAGGGTTGGTTGGTTGGTTGGTTGCCTATACCTTACGTTACGGTAAGGTCAGGAAAGGCAGCTCAATGAACTGATTACAGAGTAAGACTGCCACTTGTCATGTTTCGATTCCAATTTTCGGTTGCTGGCGCGTGCGCGCTGGCACGCGGTATATAGCAGGGAACCAGTCTAGGGTAAGCTGGGATTCCGACAACCCCCACGTTCTGTGGTCACATCGTGTTCAAGGGACGACGCGATGATCGTGCCGGCTTGGTGGAATAGAATACTACATATAGGGGGTATAGTGTGACGTCGTGTAGGTATTGTGTAGTATGTATATGTCTACGTATGTGTATGTATTGTATACGTTTTATATGTTATGTTATGCGTATGTATATGTATATGTCTGTAATGTATATGTATATGTATACGTATTTATATGTATATGTATACGTATGTATATGTATATGTATACGTATATGTATGTATATGTATACGTATGTATATGTATATGTATATGTATACGTATGTATATGTATATGTTAAGATATGTTTGTATATGTTAAGTTGTATTGTTTGTATACGTATGTATATGTTATGTATACGTATTTATATGTATATGTATATGTATGTATTTCTATGGTACTGCGATTGTGGTCAATCGTCTCGTGAGAACTCAAATGTGCAAATATTCACGAACGTTCACGTGTAAACTTGAACCAAAACAGAGCACTATGGCTGGGGGAATTGTATTTGCAAGAAGGTCCTATGTGTTCCTTAGGCCATTCACAAGAGATGAAATTGCTTTTTGTTAGTTCTTTGTTTGTTATGGCGGGGCATTTAACTCTGGGTAAGGTATCTCGATGATGGAATGTACTCAGACGTAGCTATCTCATGAACTGAGAAGCCCTTGTTTTTCAAAAGAATGTGATTTTATGATTCGGTGCCACTATCGAGATAATGCCTTAGTCAAGTGGTGTGAGAATTGTCTGGCCGATGCGAGCGAGGCGTTGCGTTGCACTGGTGGTCTGCTGCGTCGCTTGGCACACTGCCAGCAAAAGCGTGAGCGTGACGATGTGAGAAGAATGTAATTGTGAGGTGAATGTAAATCTGTGATACCACGCTCTCTGTGCTGGCATGTGACCCCGGGGGAGGGGGGAGGTAGGGGAGAAGTCTGTCAAGCAGGGCGGGCGATGCGGTAGGTGTTGTGTGGGTAGGTGTAAATAATGGCTGTGTACAAAGAAACGCTCTGCGCGCGCGTATGTGAACGAGCTGTTAGAAGACAACGTCGGCAGAAACGTGGCAAAATTCATATAATCAAGAGCTAATAATATCTATATACATCTATTTAATATACACTAATTATTGTTAATCTTCTATTTAACTTTAAATTATCTATATACATCTATAATTATATATACATCTATAATTATATATACATCTATAATTATATTATTAGTTCTTGATGTGACGCCTGTATTTTTCTACGTCACCGTGACGCAATGCATGATTGCAGAACACCACCACTATTTTACTACTGTTCGGTTATGTGTACTAAATGTACTACTATGTACTACTACTATGTACTACTAAATGTACACTATCATCACTATTTCCGTTCGTTCGTTCTCGATATGAGTGCAAGATATCCGCACGTTTAGTACCTACTGTGTTCTCGTATAAGTAAATGAACAGTAATTGTATAGCACCAGCACTATTTTGCTACTGTGTTCTGTAGTTCTGTAGATAGGTTTAAGAGTTCACACTATTTTAGTACGGTTCTGCTACAAGTAAATGTACGTTATCATTACCATTTCCATGAGTCTATTCTCTAGATAAGTGCAAAAGAGCTGCACTGTTGTAGCACTGTTTTGCTTATAACTGAATCTATGGTATCGGCACTATTTGAGTACTGTTTTTCTCTATACAAATGTACAGGTTGCACTATTTTAGTACAGTTCTGTTATAAGTAATTGTACAATATCCACACGTTTATGGTACTGTTCCTCTCCACATAAGTGCAAGATACCTGTATTATTTTCGTACTGCTCCTTATGAGCAAATCTAATATGCCTGCACCATTTTGGTACTGATCTTATTAAGGTACAAATCTAGTGGTTGAAGCCCATATGTAGGTGTACATCGTAAAAAAAACTTTGTTTTCGAACGAAACAAAAATTTGCTGTCATTTGGTCGTTTTGAACTTCGCGGGTCTTCAGCCTACGCTGTTGACAACATGGCGCACGTTTAATAATTGTGTTACGAATCGTGGCCATAGCTTTGTGTGACTGTGACGACACTATTAAATATTTAAACCGAAAGCTGGCAGGTTGTGGCGGTTTTCCTGTAAATATATGTAAAAGGCAAACGTTTCTATTCTAACAATGTTATCAGTTATTAATAAAATGGTCCTGATTTCAAAATCCGTCAAGTTCTTGCTTTCTTGTATATAAAACACGTCGTGAATAGCCATTGCTGGATGTATTTAGTTGCACAACACAGTCCTGTCGTGATCAGGAGTGTAGGCCTATATATAAGTATTTATTCTCATGATCAGGAGTTATTCCATCGGCATCCATAATCATGGATATAAACGATGACCACCTTTTCCTCTGTAATTCAACTCTCAATTTCCCTCTGTAATCAAATAGTGCCTGGCAGGATATGTAGGTTTGGAGTTTGAACACCTATTCGTTTACACACAGTGTTTATACAGTGTAATTTGTGTGTAGGAAAACACACCGAGTAATAAATAATTTTGTTTATAATAGTCCGCATATAGTTAAGACCCCTGCCCATGCCACCCATGACTAAAAAGAGGGAAAACAAACTAGTTTTAGCAGATACTAGAGTGAGAGGGGAGGAGGAAAGAAAGAAGAGAGAGTAAGGAGGGAGGGAGGAATGCAGACAGACATGTTCATACGCATGCGCAATACACACGCGCAGACAAGCGCACGTACGGCACACACACACACACACACGG